GATACAGAATCTGAAGCAGCTCCAGGCTCTGAGCTGTCAGCAGAGTCTGATGCAGGGCTGGAACCCACAAACCTCGAGATCATAACCTGAGCTGGAAGACGGGACGCTTAACCAACTGAGCCACCCAGCGCCCCCACCCGCTAGCCCCAGTCTCTTTCTACCTGGGTGACTCTGGCCCTGTGTCTCCCTCCTCTCCTCCCCTTGCAGAATGGGTTCCATACCGCCTTCCTCCATCCACTTCCCAGGATCAGTGCAAGGAGAAAAACAGAAGTACTCAATGTGTAAATACTCTGAAAACTACAGATGAAAGGGATTACAGTTAAGGCCCAGAGCACTCCAGCCCACGAGATAATTTCTGTCTTAGACTGTGCGGTAGGCAGAGTGATGGCTCCCCAAGGATTTCCACATCCTCAGCGCCAGAAGCTGTGAATTTGTTACCTTAACACAGCAAAAAGGACTTCTGCAGATAAGGCTTCTGAGAAGGGGATATTATCCGGAACTATCCCATGGGCCCAGTGTAATCCCAGGGCCCTTATAAGAGAGAGGCAGGGGGGTCAGGGTCAGAAAAGGAGATGGGATGGCAGAGGCAGTGTTGGTGCGATGCGACAGCCTTTAGTCGCCAGAAAAGTCAAGGAGCACCTTCTTTCCTAGAGCCCCAGGAGAAACACAGCTTGGCCGACACCTGGATTTTAGCCATTTCTGCCTTGTGACCTCCAGAATTGTAAGATAGTAGATGTGTGTTGTTTTAAGCCACTAAGTTCGTGGCAGTGTGTTATAGCAGCAGTAGGAAATTAATATAGACAGGGCCGTACAGACACTGCTTCAAATTTGGTTCCCTAACACACTTTTTCAATATTCCTCCTTGGTCAATGCTAAGTGCTGTCATTACCAAGTTAAGTCATGACTCCCATGTTCCCAGTAAGTAGATCACTGTTTATTGGTCTTGAGTTCCATTTTAGCAGATCATCCAAATTCCCACACATCCGAGTTCAAATCCCAGCACGATAATTTTCTAGCTGGTGACCTTGAGCTAGGTCACTTAACCTCTCTGAGCCAGTCTGTTCTATGGCAAAAATAGGGAGTTGTAAGAATTAATAGGATTCCATTCAAAAACTCTTTCCTTTCTCAGATATTAAAGGGTCGTGTTCAAGGTTGCCAGATAAAATACAGAATGCCCAGTTAAATTGGAATTTCAGATAAAACAGGCTCAGTCAGTTAAGCGACATGATCTCATGGTTCACAGGTTTAAGCCCTGCTCAGCCCCTGGAGCCTGCTTCGAATTCTGTGTCTCCCTCTCTCTCTGTCCCTCCCCCACTCACACTCTGTCTCTCTC